GGAGGTAGCAGCGAGGGTGCTGCTGATGGTGATGTGTTGGTATCAGTGTTCAGAGACGACTGAGCAGTCGTGCCAATTATTACTTTATGAATTTGCTCTGGTTCATTCTCACTTTTATTATATGAGCTATATTATACTATGGACCTATCTAATATTAGTGTCACCTTATCTTGATGAATAATCTTACCTCATTTTGCTCTGTGATTGAAATACATTGTGCAGATGACTCAGTGTAACATATGCAGAAAGTAGTTCTTTTGTTTGGGGATAAATGGTTTTATCTGAAGACCAAATTCCTTATTAAAATCTTATCTGAAGCTTAATCTCAGTGAATATGTGGTTAGACATACAGTATATACAGTGAAGCACCCCCACCCTCCCTGGATAAAATCTAACCAATCACCATCAGAGCACTGCAGCAGGATGGAGCCCCTAGCAACAGCTGGATACCTGTTGACCTAACAGTGCTGTTGGCATCTGTTCGAAGCTGCAGATTCTGACTGAGTCTGACAGAATGTGATTTACTTCTCACTGCACCGTGATCCTGCTGCAGCCACACAGACTTAGTAAAATTTAAAAGAGTAAAATTATTTAGAATCTGTTAAAAGAAATGCCTTTGATGGAAAGAGGTCCAGGGAGGGTTGTCTCCGTCCAAATTATGCTTCAGATCTAAAGCCAGTTTATAATTTCTTCTTAATAAGTGTGTCAAATTCTTGATTAAATTTCAGCCAAGTCAAGTTCAGGGCCAGGCAAATCTGTGCTGCTTTTTGGGCCATGTGTCTGCACACACACACACACACACACACACACACACACACACACAAACCTGAGTCCACAAACCCAAAGCTATCTGCTTAGCTCAATACTGCTTGAGATAAGTGATTTATTTATTTTTTTTGTAAACTAAGCCTATGTTTCAGCACAAAGGCCACTTCTTTAAACCAAGAAAGTTTTGCCAAGAATAACAGTTGTAACAGCTGAATACAAAGGCTATCCCACTCTTTGCTGCTCATTTGTGCTCCTTCACTGCTAATAGCATCCTCTTAAATGTGCTCCCATTTCCTCATCTCGTCAGAGCCCAGCATGACCCACAGATAGGCCCTTGTAAATTCTCCCCCCATCTGGCTCCTTTTAAGTCTATGTCAGACTGTCCATAATCGTTCTGTCAAAAAGGCGTCCCGTCACCGTCGCTTGCTATGAAGGAGCGCAGAACAGGAGGCTGACACATACCAGAGCCAAAGTGGCCCTCTTCATGTAACATGAGGAAGTGAGTTTGTGTCAGGACTATTTTGGAGATACTTTGAAGTCTTATTTTACCCCCTTTGCCTCCAGGGGGACAGCACAGAAAGCAAAAGGGGGAGGGAAGGGTGTTACGATGAGGGAAAATCTCCCAAAATGCCCCGATAACCTAAAAGTCGCTGTGCTAATGATCTCATACCTTGTGGTCAAAGCGCACTGAAATGCATCACCAGCCAGGTCTGGTCTGTCACTGTGTCACGTACTGCATGGGCATATCTGTGTAGACTGAGCTTGTCTTTTCATGTTCCTTTCTGTTTACATGCATGTCCTTAAGGGAGAGTTTCACTACCCTGAGGCCTTTATTACTCTTTGTTTTATTTATGCATTGTTTACGTTTAATTTACTCATCATAATTTACTAAAAGTTGCATTTCCACTTACACTCAGTTGGCAGTTTATTAGGTACACCAAGTTAAAACTAATCCCACAATCCTGCAATAAATACAATCTTCATAATGTTAATGTTCAGTTTTTGTTGAAACAGTTTTAGAGAGGGGATTTTTCGGGTGGGCTGGACCCCCCCCACAAAAAATCTTAAGACATTATATAGCTTATACCATAGCCCATTCACCAGGCCATCTTGGCTACAGCGACACAGATGGTGCTACCTCTAACAGCTGTGTGAGGACATTTGCCATCACTGCTACAAAGTACCTGTCACTTGGGCAGTTTGTTGCTATCAAATGAAAGAAGAGAGAGAAAGAGGAATCCTGTGGCTGGTGGTGCAGAAATGGAGCAGCAGAAAAAAGATGTTGCAAAGTGTGCAAAAATAACTGACTTATTTAAGAAGCCTGCTGCTTGTATTGTGCACATCAAGGGAGAAATACACAATAGATGAAAAATAAACAGATACATCACAGCCCCATAACTGAAAAAGACATTGTTATTTTCATATTGTACAAATTTTATAGATCAATAGTCAACAGAGGGTCTGTCGATACGAGCTAGGAGCAACAGGCTCCTGGGTGGAGAGAATGGGGAGGGGAATATTCTTTAGGCAGACCAAACAATGACTTACTCACTCACAGGCAAACACAAACATATACGTATGCTAGGTACTACCTTAAAATGCTTCACACACTGAGGCATAACGCATTAAAAAGTAATAAGCCTATAAGTGACCAGTCAGCAGCACCTTGACCTTGAACACAAATTTTTGGGGCAGTAAAAGGGTCATCTCGTCAACAACCCATCTGCTTCTAACAAAGCAGCAAGAAGGACTGCAGAACAACAATGACAGCACAACCTGAATTCACACATGCACTCATGCACAAACACAGCTGCGCATACACACAAAGTGTATGGTTGATGCTTCCCACTGCGTCCAGAGTGATGTTCCTGGGGTGGGGAGAGCGAGAGGGGGCATCCAGCAGTGCAGTTTGAGCGTCCTTGCCAGAGCCAGACAGCTTCACTACCCCTGCCTTAGCAGGGGGTGATAATCACATCAAGCTTCCCTGACAAGAGGCATTGAATTCGGCTCCGGCCCCCTTAAGAGTCTGGCATCCTGCAGTCTCTCTTGAACATACTGCTGACGTTATAATGAGAAGGGTTGTGTTTTTATTTTTTCACTCTGTGACACTGCTTTCTTTCTTTTTTTTTTGTCACCTCCAAAATGTATTTGGGAATGATTTGGGATTCTGTCATTGGGATGAAAATCTGAATTGGCAGAATCAAGTGTTTCCACCACTGCCCTGTGAGAAGTGGTGCCTTGTTTGCCACGGTGAACCCCATGTAATATCTAGCTTTTGTTCATTTTTCCTGAGGAATATTTTTGTAGTAGTAGTTTATAATGTATGGGAAATGTATACTCTATAAATGGCATTTAGATTTTCCATATATTGTATCCTCCACTAGTTACAAATGAAACTGTCAAAGCACTGTCACTGACTTTACATAAAGAATGAAAGGCTAAGACTGACACACTGTCACTACGCTGACATGGGTTTACACTCAAAGCTCTAACCCATGCCGGGCGGCGGTCAGACCAAAAAGGATGCTATCGCTTTAAGAGGTCTATGTATTCTGCTAAACCACGCTCAATCAATTTTTGCCTGCTACTCTGGCTAGCATTATGTGTTTTGTTTTTTTCACTTGTCAGGTTTTGTTTTTATTTTGCTTCCATGTAGTAGTTTTGTACATGGGTCTCCTGCACATGTTGATGGGTATCTCACAGCATACTCTGGCCACAAAAGGGTTGTAAGAGGCATTGTTTATGTTTTGTGAATACCCGATACTTGTTTCATGGCTATTTTTGGAAAATGCTGTCCACTCATTAAGACCTAAATCATCATGGACTGAGCGGGGACATCCTTTTTTTCCTCTGAAATCCACCGAAACAGATGAGAACCGCACTGGACTCTTTTAAGCAGCTTTGTGGGCCTGCAGAGCTCCTATGCTACCCAGGGAGCCTGGCTTCCAACAGCTTTGCCCCATTCATCACCTGCTTTCAATGGCCACCACCAAGCTGCCTCCAACTAGAAGGCCAGGTAGGGTGCAGGGTGGTGCACAATGTTTGGGGGATTACGAATCAAAGGAGTGTGGAGGCTAGGGCCCACCGTCCAGTCTGCCATTCACTCCTAGCAGGGGAGGAGAGCAGTGGCCAAGGTCATCGTCTCCAGCTCGGTAGGAGGTAACTGGAAAAGAACCCTGGGAACCAGCCCCCTGCTCTGTGCTAATCGTGGGCTAGCAGGCTAACGGCACAGCAGGTGTCTCACCCGCCAAACATTCATCTGTTTATGCTGTGGATAGCACGGCTGACAACGAAATAATGCCTTGCAAAAGCAAGGCATTAGTTTCTTCTTACTTTCCCCTGCTTTTCCCTCTTCCTTCTGTCTTTTGTCGAGCTCTTTTTGCTCTGTTCCAGCCTGATTTTGTGGGAACTGGTTTTTCTTTCATTGAACTAAACGGTATGCTGACCTAGCAGAATGATAAACTGGTACAACACTCTTTTTAGTCTGGCATAAGTTGTTCTCAAATTTTCATGGGAAGGCTGTGGGTGAGAAGTGTTGGCGGACAATGACAAAAGCCATTTGAGGACAGAAAGTGAAATGTTTTAGTTAAAAGTTTCTCTCAGGTGGTTTCAAGCAGACCTGGCCAAGTTGCAGTTCCCTTTAGAAAAATCTTTTTTTGTGGATGGAGCTTGATAACACAACACAAGAACACACTTTTTTGTTAGATTTAGACATCCCTTTTGGATTTGCTATTACCATCCTGACTCTCATGTCATAGAATAGCGATTATAGCCATCGTTTCAAGCTGATTCGGCATCCTGTGGTGCGAGACATTGGGTTGGGGAAATCCTGATGGGGCAGCTGGCTGGAGAGTCACAGACTGTGGCAGAGTGTCCCATACATTCTTCAAGATCGCAGACTGGACAGATTAGCTTAGCCTGCTAAGTCTGAGAAGGGGAAAGTCAGCAGTGAGGATCCGATGATATGAAATGAATCGTTTTCGTTTTCTAGTCAGAGGCAAGAAAGGAACCATGCCCTGCCACCCCACCCTCCAACAAACACACCCCTGTTGGGATATTGGCAAGTTGTCATGACGACAGGGATGTTCTGCTGATGAAGTCTCGCTTGGCGTTATCCAATCAGATTGTGGAGCTGCAACCGCAGCGCGAACAGGGGAGGACGCACCTATTCCACTAGCACAATGCTGAGAAAGGACAGGAAAAAAACCCTGGACCACCACCGGGAAATTGGCAATCCGAGGGAGGCTGTCAGTGGGCCGCCATGGTTCGACAATACACAAACAGCGGGGGTTGTGGATACAGGGACTGCCAGGTAGGGGGTCTCCATCACGTCTGATGCTGTTTTGAGCTGTGATTCTTTGCTGCTATCAATACAAAGTATTAATGCATTATTTATTTTCACTATTATCATGCAGACTGTGATTAATGTGGCTTCTGTGGTGTTTCAGGATGTTGGTCATAGCTATCAGACTGCTCCAGGTGCACTTTTACCAAAGGCAAATCACTCCTGCAGGTGGTTTTTACAAATGTACAACTGCCGCAAGAACCACAACAAAAGAAAGGAAAATTTTGTGAAAACTTATGTAGGATTAACTTTAATGTAATTTTGTATTCATTTCACTGTGGGATGTGGACCAAGAGTAGACGAGGTGAATATGCAAAAATTGCAGGTAGCAAAGTAAATAAAAAACTCTCCTGGTGTTTGATTCAGGCCTCTTATTCCAAACCCTGCGGAGGATTTTTCTTTTCATTTTGCTGCTTGTTGACCAAAGGAGAAAACAGGGCTTTTTGTTGCTCTGTGAAAGATAGAGGGCTTTATTGGGGGGCAGGCTCTAGTTTTTTCCAGGGACTGCAGGTAGCCATTATGATCGCCCTCTTAAGCAAATTATTAGAACCTTCGACAGGTTTTAGCTATGTTGTAGCTGCCTACAATTAATATTCAAGTTAATTTCACATGTTGGCCCTTCAGTAGATTATTAGGATTTGCATTTATTAGCAAATCACTAGAGCACGAAACCTCTTTTATTTTCTCCTTAGCCCGTTCTTGCAGTTCAAGTCCTTTTATCATGGGCTCTCTGTGGGATGCCGCTCGACAGAGTGGTTGTGTTTGACTCTTCAAACTTGAGAATCAAATGTAATTTGTCAGCATGGCAAAGCCACCTTTATTAGTTCCTGGCTGGATATCAGTTCTTATTTTCAAGTGTTCTCTTTATTGTACATTTTTGCTAATGACGGCTCCACAATGAGATGATCGGCCCAGCGGGATGGCTTGGTTATTGTGTTGGTCAAAGGACTGGTGAACCCCAAGTTTCTTTTATTTTAAAGACCAGTTCTATTTGATAATGTAAAATTATATTTCATACTTGAAGTACTTTTTGCATATTTTCAAAATATATATTGCTTTTTTATAATATTTATTAATCTGTGTTTGAGTCATTTAGATCACAGATTAATGGTTCCACTCAATACAGAAAGTTCTGTGGGCCTCACTGACAGTGGGCACACTTGACAAAGTGATTATGCACTGCTAGTTATTTTGTTGCCATGTATGGATAATGCATTGGGATAACAATGGGATATTGCATTAGAAACATTATAGTTGTAAAGTGTTTATGGAATAATAGCAGGCTATTACATGACACACACAATAGTACTGTTAGTCAGTCCAGTCTTGGGCATAAAGTGCAAACCCCCCAGTTCTAATCCCACATTGAAGGTAAGACAGCAAATATGGAGCTGTGGCGTTTGAATGTTAGTGCTAGTCACAATGAAACCAGGCTTTGAGTAACATGCAGACAGGATGTCACTGTTTCCTCCACCTCTGCATTAACCCAACGTAACTCAGTGAACATATTCTCACCTTTCATGAAAGAATTATGTATGAGACCTGCTCATCCAGTTTGATATGAGATTTTGAAGCCACTTGGTCAAAGCAGATACGCTATCTTTCAGCTTAATAGTGGAAAATCTAATTTAGGCAAAAATGGCCAAAGGAGCTCATCACTGCAAGCAGAATGCTCAGCTATTGCTGACTGCCATTTGCCATGGCAGTCAGCGCTGTCCCGGGCATGCGGAAAACATGCTTTACTTGTTTAATTTTTATGCAACCCTAAGTCACTGACAATCCACATGGGATCATCTGCTGATTGTAATGTGAGAACTAACTCAGGACAGTTGGTTTTATTGTTTTAATATGACTACATATGAATTATATTTTATACTGTATATACACAGCATCTCCTGTTATGATGCCCTAAAGCATGACAGTGGGTGTGGATATCATTATGCTCAAGAATGGTCATTTGCAAATGCAACCAGCTAACCCAGAGAAAAGTTGCTTATTCATGGTCACTTCTGAGTTGGAGGGAAGGGGCTTTCCCACTGCTTTGAAATCCCCCACCACAACTGTTCTGGAGAGTCTGTGGACAATGATGTCAGATTATTACAATGCTAGAGGGCTTGTAGCGGGAAAACCACTGAAGTGAGATGATTGCTGTTCTTATGATGCAGATTAGTAACATTTTGGTGACTGGGATCAGATGTGGTGAGCTCTTCACCATCCTGTTTACTTTCAGACTTTGAGGCTTGGAGAGATGTTAACAGCATTGCTGTGTTGACTTTAAACACAACTCAAAGAATCAAAGACATGCTGACATGCAGAATTAGGATTTTCTTGCAAATGTCATTAGTGTTGATTAAAAGCTGGCTTGTGGAAGATGTCAAAGAAGCCACAGAAACCCTTGGGAAGCCCAACACAACCTGCTTAGAACTCATTTATGGTATATCAACTGTCTTCCAGATACAGCTCAACTTGAAATATTCTAAGGCACAGGGATTAAAAGATGACATTTCATTGGCTGAAATCAATTACACGTGCCAGTAAATGTCAACTTGAGGTTGATTGGACCACCCAGAAGTTTCCCATTAAAAGCCATGCAGTTTCCATTGAAGAAGTTCCAGGGTTGCACCCCAAAAGCTATTCCCTCTGCCCACCAACCCCACAAATCCAAGGCCTGTGATGTGTGACTGGGGTCCCCTTCTGCAAATTACTATGATTGAAAAGAATGTGATTGCAGACTAAAAAAGAAGAAAGGCCCCCAGACAGCTCTAAAGGAAAATGTCATTCCTAACAGTTGCTCTGCATTCCTTCTAAGAAGGAACAAGCCATGCCATCTGATGATAGTCATCCAGCAGTCACGTCACCGTTCACTCAGACCCCAGGCTGGAAATGTCTATTATGACCATGTGAAGATGCTGGGAGCAGTTGGTACAAATTAATTGACCATCACTCGTCACTGCAGTGCAGAAAAAAAGTAGCACTGTGCAACTGTCTTTCGAAGCTGTCGGCCAAGGACAATGAATGCATCCCATTTCTTAAACCTGATGTAATAGAGAGAGACATGGACCACAGACAGCTGTGGGAGAGCATACAGCAGCGAAGTGGAAGTGGTCAGGTTGTAAACACACAGACATGAAGAAGAAGAGTGGGATTACAAACAGGCTTGATCTCAGCTGTGCTGTCCAGAGCGGCTGACAGCGGAGGAGGGGAAAGGAAAGAAGGTGGGGGAGCGCTGATTTGGGCTCCTTTTATTCACTTTTCTCCCGTCAACTACCTCTCTTTTTGCCGGCAGCATTGTCATTTGGGCTGTCCGGATACAACTGAAGGTCCAGCATTGAAAGAAGCACTACAATGAAGCAAGAGACCGACAAACAGACAGACAAATGCACCTGGAGGCTGAAGTCTTCAAGACCAGCTGAGACCCACCAATTTGTTAACAGCACGATTTTCGATAGAGTCATAACATACATAACCCCCTCCCTATCCCCCATTTCTCTTGTTCCATTGTTCATTATTTTGAAGGTGCTGAAATAGAAGCTACTGTTTTAAAATCCTGAATTATCAACAGAAAGCCCAACCTACCATTACCGCCTAACAAATCAAATTGAATTCATTACTGTCATTTCTGTTTTCAAGGGAATAAAAAGCTTGTTTTAATTCCAGTGAAAATGAGTTCCATTTATCTTTATCCCGTTGTAATAATATCCCCTTTGTTCATATCCTATTGGTCTAGGAATGAGTAGGAATGGGCAGATCATGAGATAATGATGATAGGTCTTTCTTCCAGTGATGAGGCCCAGTGTGAGGATGACACGGTCTAAAGATGAAGCACCATCCTCCCCAGCCAATTTAGACAGGAGAAGCAAAGGTCTAGCGTAGCTGGAAAGTGAATCACGTCCTTCAAGTTAATATCATTTGTGGCTAAAAGGCACATGTCTCTTCTAAAACTAGTAACTGTAGCTCTGCAGGAAAATGTGACCAATCATTTCAGCAGAATTAGTGTGTAAAAAACAGGATGTGGGGGTGCAGTCTTCATTACTGTGTAAATTTACTCTCTATGATAATAATCTATACATTTGAACATTTAATGACTCCAATTCATTGATTCACAAAACACATGTACTGTAATATTTCATGCACCAGCAGTCAAAAGAAATGTTTGCACATGTATTAAAGTGCAAGTTGTACTGACTAAGAATCAGAATGAAAGACTGAACATCTATGTGTAACAATGAAATCCTTAGACAGCAGCTTTTACAACTCCTCAGTGGGTATGATATGATCCATACAATGCCTCCCTACCATGTATTACAAGTGAATTCACTGTACCATGGTGTTGCATGGACAGCTACTGCATAAAAGACAAATCAGGTTGCAATAAAACTTAGAAACCATGATGGGTTTGTGTATGTAAGCGGCCATGATGGATCTCTAAGATAAACGACAAATGATAATGTCCTGCCAATCAATGCAGACACACACACTTAGGATGCACAGGCGCACATCAAATGGAGCTAGAACATCTGTCAGACACTGGACCAATGGTTTACTTAAAAGATGAGGAGGGGTCTGGTGAATGCTCTGCTATTCATTTATCTTGCATTACTGTCCATTGGTTTTAATTATGGTTGGATCTTTCAAGTTAGAATTAGGCATGCTTCAACAACAGAGATGTTCGTGTGTTTTACCATTGTTTCTGTGGGACTTATAGCACATGGGGGCACAGGTACATATGTGTGTGTGAAGGCTTTTTGTCTGTCCTTCAGTCTCCCTTCATGTTCATCCATCTGTGTATTTGCATGTGTACAGACACATTTTTGTAATTGATGAACATTTCTTCTTGTGTATGTGTGTGTGCACGTTTGTGTGCACTTTGCCACGTATGTGCAGAATTGGTCTGCCTTATTTTCTCGGCACAGCTGCAATAGGACTGGATTGATGTGTAACCCAAGCCGGCACTTTAAAGGGCGAGA